TACTCACTTGTTAAAGTGATGATTCAAAACTCGGGTAGCACTTCTGTAGCACCTGGTTCCTGGTATGTAAATCTTATTTGAGTATTTCCCATTTTAGCCTTGGACTCGGCGAGTCGTACGTCCGACTCGCCGAGTAGGGACGAGACTCAGGACACGTTTAAGTTGGCGACTCGGCGAGTCCATATCCTGGACTCGGCGAGTCACCGCTGCTGGATGAAACCCTAAATTTCAAGGGTTTGCACCCTATTTAAACTCTCATTTCCGCCCCAAACTCGCCCCCGTTCACCCTCAGAGCTCCCAACATCGTTTATACCCTTATTTCCTTGAGAGATTGATGTGCTTTGGTGTGTTCTTGAAGATTTTGAGGAGAAAGAAGAGTAGATCAAGAAGAGGAGAAGGAGGCCAGGCATCTTTGTGTCATCTCAACGTTTTCCTTGAGGTATAGCTCGTTTCCCCTCTGTTTTCAAGCTTGTAGTCTCTTTTAGCTTCATGGAAGTCCTTCTTGAGCTCTTCCCCAAGCTTGTTTGTGCATTGTGGGTTGTAATAAGTTGTTAGACTTTAGATCTAGGCATGATTTAGTCCCTGGAGCTTGGATCTAATGCCTTTATGGGGTCATATTGCATGAAAGCCCTAGATCTACCTCTTTTGGTGCACTTTGAGCCCTAGAATCCATATTGGTGAATATCTACACGTAAAGTTGGAAACTTTACGTGTGATTCGTGTCCTAGAAGCCCAGATCTGTGAATGGCATGGACTGGAATCGAACAAATCGGTGTATTTAATGGATGCATGGCGACGACTCGGCGAGTCGTTTATGTGACTCGGCGTGTCTGATCGCGAGTCACCGAATTGGTCCCTTTATGCTGTATCGAGTTTGAGCCGTGAGTCACAGGGGGTGACTCGGTGAGCTGGAAGCTGAACTCACCCATGGTAGGACTTGGCGAGTCAATGCCCTGACTCGGCGAGTTCAAGGCAATCTTCATAGATCAAGAACAGACTCGGCGAGTTGTTCATACAACTCGGCGAGTCTAAGCATGAGTGTTCATCGGATGAAGATGAACTCGACAAGTTGTTCATACAACTCGACGAGTAGGACGAAGAACTTCAATGTCAGTTTAGAAGAAGAACTCGTCGAGTCTTAGCCTAACTCGACGAGTAGAATCAGGGACTCAGGACAATCGTCTGGATAGGAACTCGGCGAGTTGGTGAGCCAACTCGGCGAGTCGGGTCAACTGAAAGTTGACTCTGACTTTGACTTAGGGCTAGACCTGGGGTAAAATGGTCACTTTACCCAAAGGGTAGTTAGCAGTGTTTGATTGAGTCTGTTGTGGGAATTGCAGCCGGAGGATTCCCGGAGCAGCAGCAGCAGTCAGTCAGTTCCCGATCAGTTCAACAACTACTTTGAGGTGAGTTATCTTCCAGTAGGGGTGGGTCTAAGGCCACAATGTCGGCCCACCAGTAGGAGACGTATGATAGATGATTGTCTTTGTGATATCATCTGGGTTTGCTATTACCTGATGTGTTATATGCTAGCATGATAAGTTATATGCGATAGTAGTAGAGTTCGGTTGTTAGGACCGCAGGGTAGTCAGACACCCCATAAATGTTTGACAGTATGTGATGATATGTTTGTATGATTGGCCTGTTATGTTATGCGATAGAGGTAGTAGGAGGGGACCAGTCCTCGAGGATCGGTTGTTAGGACTGATGGGTAGTCAGCACCCCAGAATGGCTTGACATGGGTAGTCAGCACCCCAGAATGGCTTGACACGGGTAGGACGGCACCCTAGAATGGCCGTATGGGTAGGTCGGCACCCCAGAATGGTCGTACCGGGTAGTCAGGCACCCCAGAATAGCCTGGCAGGATGCATGTTATGTGTTTGTATGGTATGTGGTACGTTGGGGGAACTCACTAAGCTTTGTGCTTACGTTTTACAGTTTTGTTTTCAGGTACCTCTTCACCGAAGGGGAAGGAGCTGGCGCGGTAGCGGCACATCATGCACACATTCTGGTTTCCGCCTTTACGAGATTCACTGGGATTTGTACTCTGATATTTTGATGGGTTGTATGGTTTGGTTTTTAAACATGGTTTACGTTATGTTATGGTTTGATCAAACAATGTTTTTAATTGCCAATGTTTTCTAAAGTAGTGTTTTCGAACGAAATTTTCGGACGTGAAAATTGGGTTGTTACAGCTTCGCTTCTATCGATTCTATTTTCCTTCGACTAAACCTAGCATTATCATCGCTAATTTTTAGTCTAATCTTTATTGCGACTAATTATTAGTCCAGATTCATCATTAACTCAAACTCTACTTTCATGATCTATTAAGCAAGGAACAACGAGGTAGGATCATATCGGAGGTAGGGTCCGTTTGGTATACGAAGTATACTATTTGGAAATCCCATTTTAAACACCTCACTAAATCACAGCCTAGACATCATCCCCGTAAGTAGATCAATTAGTATAATGACTTTAAATCATTGATAAATATTATTTATAGGTTCATAATAATGATATTATATTTAAACATAAGCTATATTTAAAGTAGGGTAAACGTATCTCACTTACAACGAGTTTTGCTAAAAACCAGGATCTGCTGGAGCAGAACTTCCGAGCTGAAAAGCTCTTTTTCTCGGAGCCTTCGGGTGCTCTGGGGCTTTCTTATATCACTAGGGAAGTGATAGGGAAAAACCTTGAAGGTTTGGGAGAATTAGAGAGGGGAATATGAGAAAGGTGTGAAGAAAATGGGAGATTTGCGCCTCTATTTATAGGCTGTCAGCGCCGAGTACGCTGAGCGTACTCAAGAATTACGCTGAGCGTAATGGGTTTTTAAGGGTTATGCTAAGTGTACTCAAAGTTACGTTGGGCGTAATGTGACACGTGTCGTGATCTCATGCAAAGCCGTGTGGAAGAAGGTGCGGCTCAGATTGCGCCACGTGTCACTCGTTGGTTACTCTAAAAACTAATTATCTTCTAAAATCCGTAATTGTTGTATATGAGCTCCGTTTTTGATGTTTTTTACATCCACGCATAGTTGGGATCGTACTAAACAACTTTTGTTTAGACTCTATTGACTAATTTTGACTTTATTTTTAAAGTTATATTTTTAACAGGCCGAGACAGGAAAAGTCTGTTAAAAGATCATAACTTCTTCACCCGGCGTCCGTTTTCGTGTGTCTTTTTACCATTGAGCTACTTTTAACAAGAACTTCGATTTTTGTTTAGGTTATGTCGGCTCAAAATCGGTTGATCTAATATTCGAATTTCGGGCTGTATACTGTTATGCGAAATCTTAGAAAAATCATAATTTCCTCATACGAAGTCAGATTTGACGTTCTTGTTATGCATGCTCTCGGTTTAACATATACTACAACTTTCATTTAGATCTCTAAGTATAAAAAGTATCCTATCAAAAATTCACTTTTTACGTCACACAACGTTGTGTCGGTTTTGTCGCGAAACTTCAACGGGCCATAACTTCTTCGTTATAACTCAGATTTCGGCGTTCTTTATATGTACGGAACCCTTGTGACATATACTAAAAATTGGTTTAGATTACTCCTTCTAGATAATATTCTATCAAAAAGTCATTTTTGACGCTCATTGTCTCTAAATTGACTAGCCCAAATATGCAGACATGACATGGGTTGATCAACCCCGTTGTTGTTTTATTAGATGAAAGACTTTTAAAGCTAGGGGGAGGATATTTTAGACTTTTCTAGTTTATATTTCACACTTGATTCTATATGCGAGGTTGTCGGTATCGACGGTTGATTGAGGATCATGTACCCAGTTTTAAGTGGGACGTCATGGGGCCAAGTTAATCCTTGGATGAGTTGATGGTGTAAGCATTGGATTAGCATAGTTGATATGTGAGTGGCCATATTGCCTTGGAATCAGGTATGATCTATAAGTCTTCAGATCGTGATTAAGAGTGAGTGCCTCCTGAGGTTGAATAGTTGCAGCGTGATGGTGCTCATTCTTCTTCGAGTTGTGTGCATCTTGCTGGGGATTAATTCAATTTGCATGCCAATGAGGATATGTTTGTTTGGGGTATGGTTTCAATGCCACATTTTTTGGTGAAGGTTTGTATCGATCGGATACACTTCAAGTACGAATAACAAACGTAAAACTAATATAAGAAAAATAATAAATAGAAGGTAAATAACACAGACGTTTTCCAAATTGTTCTTTCACCAAGAAAGAGTTTTGTCTTCACCAAGAAGATGGGTTTATCACAAATACGATTAACACAAAGCCACGATCACAACATTAGGGTTTGCCCTAATGTTGTATATATACTAATCTATACATGTATATCCCTTGATTGAGGGGATTGTGTCTAATCTATACTAAGAATCGATCTTATGACAAAGATATCGAATATGTGATCTATTCTATACTTATCTATATCATTACCTAATATACAAAAGATTACAATAGGATAATTGAATTATAAGTCGACGCTGTTAAGCTTGATATGCTGACACTATAGATGTAGTAGACGTTGTCGTTGATCTATCAGCGTGTTGTGTGTTTGACTCATGAAATCATAAAGTGTGACTTTAAAATCTCCCCTATCTGATGATGTCAAAACCAAAATTCTTCTTCAGATTCATCGGAAGAGGTATTGTAGAACTTGTCAGCTTCTTTTAAGATTTCAAGTTTGACCCATATGAATTGATCAAGCTTAAGTTCATACAGTCTTCTACTAAGCTCCAGTGATATCAGCACACAATATCCTCTTTCTAATTCATAATGACCTAGTCCTTCCAAGAGAAGATGAAACAAATGTTCAGTGGGAGAGAAGGATGGTCATCATTGCATTAAAAGCGCATATGATTTTGACTGTCAAAATAGAAGACCCTTTTCTCAGGTTCTGGAATAAACATATATTAAACAGGTTCAACACTCGCTGGTAATTTGTTGTTGATGTATATGGTGCCATAAGGAAGAAGAAAATTGGTATTCTTGGACTATTTGAGAGCGCATGTTCTTCATGATGAGGTTGATATAGATGAACTAGCTGATGGAGCAGCGGATAGCACAAGATTCAATTTCTCTACTTTGTTGAAAACATGTAAGATTGCCAACTTCACCTCCTGAGCATGAACACCCTTTTTTTTGTTGATGATTTCTAGAATTTGCATCCACTCGCTATAGCCAAATTTGACTAGCTCATGAGCAAATACAACCTTAGTGTATTCAACTTTCACCTTCTTTCTGACCAAGTGAAGCTTTACTGACTCGTTCTTTGGTTTGGGGCATCTTACTTTGATGATGGGATCAGGCTTTCTTCTACGAGTCAAAGCATCTCCAAACTTCTTTCTTTCGATTCGGTCATTTAGGTCCGAAATAATGTGTTGTTTTTCCACATTGTTATTGAAGATCTTATTGACCTGATTACCAGTGCTTTGAACATCAACACTCTCATCAACAGAAATAAGTTCTAGAACACGTTTTGCATACAAACGTTCTTGTTTTTGGGTTTCTTTATTTTGTCAAACAATAGCATTGTATTCTAACATGATCTGTCTAACTTCCTCGATAGGTAAGGTCCATGTTTCTGCTAACTCATTCAGATTAAAGATGAGATTTCTTTTCTTTTTAGGAGGAGATGTTAAAAGATCACCAGCAGCAGTAGAATAGCTTCCAGCTTCAGCATCATAAGCTCTCCTTAAGAAGGTAGGCTTCCACTTTTGAGGATTGAGTTGCTCATTTTCAGATTCAATATCACTATCAGTTCCTTGAGGAACCTATTGAGAAATCTCCCCCTCAAAATAAGAACCATGATAGACAACATTTAAGGGTATAGCATGAACATCGGCTTGTTTCATGAAACCAAGAAGAAGAAACCCTTCATAGTCATCAGTTATTGATTGGTCACCAATGTCTGGAATGGGTTGATCAGTTGTAGCGTCAGCATCTGGAATATCAGCAACAATAATCTGCTTTTGAGGATTAGCTTCAGCTTCAATCCTTCCATTCATCTCAGGTTGAGATGGATTTATGTTCAATCATCACTTCCATTTGTATTGTTTGAGGACCCTCTTGATTATTCTTCCTTTTTTTTTGGCAACATCAGATTGGGGAGGAGAGTTAGGATGAGGAGGGGTGTTTAGAGGAGGATAAGATATAGAGGAGGTGGTGGAGGAAGATTTGTTGATGGAGGAGGTTGATCACCTGGAGAGCTTGCTAGGTGTCATCAACAACCATATCATCATCATCACCTAAAGCCATACATCGCTTCATTGTGGCCACATCCTTTTCAACTATTTTTAACCTTCTATCCATTGATTGAGTAATGTGCACAATTAGAGAGAGTTAGGAATGCACAACATTTTGAAAGTGGGAGTTGGATGCTTCCTGATCATCCTGATGAAGAGCAACAATAATAATGGAAGTTAATGTAGGGGGAACCGTCTCAGCTTGAGGAGAAGGAAGCAGTTTTGGAGAAAGTTCATCTTGGATCCTTGGCTTAGTAGTATCTCTAACAGGAGGGGTTGATCTATGAGGTATAGTGTCATCAACATAGGAAGAGAATGAAGAAGTAGTTGAAAAACTAATGTGCTTGTTTAACTTAGGAAGAGAGTTCATTTTCTGAGTGAAGTCTTCTCCTATGCCAACTGCTTGTTCTTATTTATCTTTATCAGTGTCTTCTTCCTCATCAACCCCTTCTTTATTACCACTTATGAATCATCATCATTCCCATCATCACTATATTCTTCATTACTAGCATCATCAATATCATTATCCTCTTCAAAGTTTGAGGATTTAACCACATAGGGTTTTTCAGTCCATTTTTACATCCTTAATATAATAGGCAAATCACCCTGAGATGGAACAAAATTGATAATTTTTATGGAGAGGGAAGGAATTGGAATAATAATTCCATGACTTTCAACATAGCCTTATTTTCGATACAAGATCAAACCAATCCAACGAGGATAAGGAACATTCAATGACTTATTGTTTCCATTAATGCAGTCAATTGTTTGATCAAGAAAAAAATTAAGCAAAGTCCATTCTTTTGTTGTAAATAATGGAGTATAAAATCCTTTGCTCAAATAGATTCAGTTGATCCAAATTCCCATTCTTGTGTCCAAGACATTTTCCAATTACACATGTTAAGTACTTCCACCCTACATTAAAACATTGACGAAGAGTGTTCTTGTATGGATCACAAGTGAGGCCTGGAAGATGGAAGCTATACCTTAATTTTTCACGAACATATTTGCAACTTTCTTCAGAGGGAGTTTCAGAGTAACTTTCGAATCGAGGAAGACGAAGAGTAGGTCAAATGGATTCCACATCAATGGTAACCCAATATTGATCATCTCCAATGGTTCCAGTCATGGTTTGAGCAACACTATTAACAAAGCTTGTATAGTAAACCTCACATACTTGTTTAGGGTAAAAAGGGTTCAAGAAATCACAAAATACATATCAAAGAGCACAGCTGTTGACATGGTTGACAAAATGTTCAATTCTTGAGTTTGCAAAATGCTTTGGGATTTCATTTGAGAATGCCACATTTGTTGATTAAATGATGATGTTAGAGTCAGGAGCATGAGGACCTTTGATGTTGTTAGCACTGGGGGAAAACTCGTATTTAGAGTCTTAGTAGTTGATGGTTATTATGAGTATTTTTAGGATTGTTGATAGTCCCCATGACTTCTAATAGTCCTAGGGTCGTTGATAACCCATAGTTGTGTAGATTGACATTGGGGTAGTGGTGTACTAGTTATAGTACCAAGAGGTCAGCATTACGGGTGGTTATAAGTCTCTTGGGTGTCCTGGCTGGTGATTGTGCATCTATTCTATTTTGGGAGCTTCAGTAGCACACGAGTTTTGGTGTTGCCCATGGTTATGCTCGTGGGAGCAGTTGGTTAGTTTTGGCTTGGTAGGAAGTCAGGTGTGTATTTAAGGACCTCAGTCATGATATCTGAATTTGGGATGGGTTGATCAGCCCCATTATTGTTTTATTAGATGAAATACTTTTAAAGATAGGGGAACGCTAGTTTAGCCTTTGTTGGTTTATATTTTGCACTTGAGTCTATATGAGAGGTTGTTGGCATCAGTGGTTGATTAAGGATCATGTACCTAATTTTTAGTGGAATGTCATGGGGTCGGGGTAAACCATGGATGAGTTGATGTTATGAGCATTGGGTTAGCATAATTGATGTGTGAGTGGTAATATTACCTAGGAATTAGGTATGATCTTTAAGTCTTCAGATCATGATTAAGAGTAAGTGCCTCCTGAGGTTGAATAGTTGCAGCGTGATGGTGTTTATTCTTCTTCAAGTGCCATATTGGTTGGTGAAGGTTTGTATCGAACAGATACACTTCAAGTATGAATAACAAATGTAAAACTAATCTAAGCAAAATAATAAATAGAAAGTAAATAACACAAAAGTTCTCCAAATTGTTCTTTCACCAAGAAGATGGGGTTGTCACAAAGACGATTGACACAAAGCCACGATCATAACATTAGGGGTTTTCCCTAATGTTTTATATATAGTAATCTATACATGTATATCCCTTAATTGAAGGGGTTGCATATAATCTATACTAGAAACTGATATTATCACAAATATACCAGATATGTGATCTATTATATACTTATCTATATCATTACCTAATATACAAAAGTTTACAATCGGATAATTGTGACATTGATAAGCTTGATACGTGGGCGATATAGATGCAGTAGACACTGATGTTTATCTATTAGCGTGTCATGTGTTTGACTCATCAGATCATAAGGTGTGACCTTAAAGTTGGGATGTCAACCTTCTGGAAGTTTCACTTGGAAATAACTTATGCGTTTGGTTCTAAAATCCATGTAATGATTGTTGCAGATTATGGTATGTTAGGTTTTTTTCAGCTCTCATAGGAGGGAGTGGACTTGGAAAACCCACAAAGGATTCATGGATGTTTTTAGTAGAGATTCATAAAGGCAGATTTCAAGGATGAAATATAATTTAATTGGGGGATAATTATAACACTTGTTCCCCAGAGAGGATCAAGTGAGGCTTGGTGAGATCAGAGATCATATTTTTAGGAAAATCTAGGTACCACGAGGTGGCATGTTTATTTGGTCACCGTGGCGTGTCTAGGGAAAAGCCATGGCATGGAAACTATGGTGGCCCAAGCCCATGATTTTAGGGTTTTCTCCATATTTAAACACCTAATCTCGAGGATTAAGGTATCATTTTCAGCCTCCAACCCTTTCAAATGAAACCCTAGCCTCCTTGGAGTGATTCTTGTTGGATTAGTAGTGATTCTTGAAATTTGAAGCTTTGGCTTGCATTTTGGAAGAATGATCAGTGTGCTTGCTAGTTAGAAGAGTGTATCATTTCAAATCTTGCAACTCATGCATCTTGTGGAGCTTTGGAAGGTATAAAGCTTCCACTTTTTTAGTCTTCTCTTCATAGATCTAAGATTTATTGCATTTCTTGGTTCATATTCAAATTTGGGTTGGTTTTATGAGATAAAGTTTACAACTTCATAACTCATCTTGGTCCGTTAGTTAGTATATATTTTCGATATGAAGTTTGATTGTGTTTTGAGCTCCATGTAAGAGATTTTGGTCTTTTTCCCCCATTTTGACCAAGATTGAGATCTAGACTTGCATTGGACATGCATGTTCATAAAGCTATGATTTTTATATTGGAATAGAAGTAAGATGTCCTTTTGGAAATTATGGATTTGTGGCTTTGGTTATTAAGAGTTTTATGGTTGGGTTCATGCCTTAAGTTGTCATGAAGAATCTAGGTTTAAGTGATTAAGACACTTTGGGATGTCTTAATGGGTAAAGTTGGAAACTTTAACCATCAAGACCTTAAGAAGGACTAGATATGAGCTTTGAAGCTCTTGATCTTCAAGGAAAATAGCTTAATCCATTTAGTTGTTGAGACCTAGTTCCCACAATGTGGCAAAGGAAGGCCACAACGTGGTGATCAGGGGATGTCCGATCATTTTGTTGTTTTTCTCCCATGTCGTGGCTAATGAGTTTCCATGATGTGGCGATCTGCTAAAGTGGACTTTAACCATTGATGTTTTTACTAGTTTAAATTTTAGTCAAACTTAGAGAGCTGTTGAGTTATAGCCCGAGAATTAGTTTGTGATTGGTTTAGGAGGATTGTGTAGCTAATTCTATAGGACTATGAGTAGGGGGTTTCAACTCTTCATTCGGGTGAGTTTTCTCACTATATTGTAGGGCATTAGGTATTCATTGTGCATGTTGTATTTGTGACTCTTGCAGATGTGCTTGTATGTTTTATGCATGGAGCCGATTTGGGATTGGATTCAATATGGACTCGAGGTCGATACGAACCCGATGGAGCCAATCTGAGATCAAATTCAACCTGGAATCGGAGTCAATACTGACTTGGGGTTGATACGTACCAGGGGTAGTTACAGAATCGTTATAGGTATGTGTTGTTATATTTGTGGTATGTGGTATTTTGGGGAACTCACTAAGCTTTGTGCTTACAGTTGTGGATTTAATTTTTGTAGGTTCTTACCAGATTGCGAAGGCATGACTATACACATACATCAACAGCTTTGTGATTTGATATTCCACATTGTCTTATTTATAACTCTGATTTTTGGATAATGGTTTATGAATAAATGGTTTGATCTTAATGTAATTTTCTTGAAAATGGGTGTTTAAAAATGAAATTTTTATTCTGGAATTTGGGACATTATAGAAAAAATATGACTAGTCATCTTTATCACAACATCACAAAAAGGTCACAACAACTAAGGCACATCAATATAGTGGGTACCAAGATTACATCGAGTAGGAAATTTATCCAATGACAAACACAAGGAAAAAATGTTGATTTTGATGGGAACAGTTTGGATCCACAGTGTAGGAGAGTTAGAGATAAGCAACATTTTTCATCAATGTAAACATGCTCACAAGGAACAAAGAATCCCATCATCTCATATAAAGACCAACACCACATGTTGTGAATAGTAG